ATACATAATAAAATTTTTTTAAAAAAACACATACTAAAAACAGTAACATTATCTCTCCTTAAATGCCAAAACTTCAGGAATATCATAGTTATTTATAAAGATCTTAGTATTGAAGATGACGTTGAAAATCTCCATTACACCTAAATAAACCATCAAAAAAATTATATAAAACTTTGAAAATAAAATCTAAAAAAAAATACTAAAATTAATAATTAAAAACGTAAGAGTAAAACCTCTCCATGATTTCATCTTTACAAATTGAATGACGAAAATAACAGATTCATTGGAGCTTTTGTCAATAACTGAACACATCTCAATATCAATAGCAAAATTTTCCCAAAGAGTACAGCGAAACTTATTACCACTATTTGAAAGAAAAAAAAATAAATTGAAAGAAATATAATGAAAAATTAATAAAAAAGCAGACATTCAAATGAAAAATATCTTACCTCATCAAGTTCAAATGAAATCATATTTAATGAAAAACCATTTTTTGTCACTTCCTTCCGTTCAATTACCGCTGACAACAACCCAATAACATATGCAAAAAAAGGTAAATCATTTAATGTAAAAACCGAATTAAACCTACAATTTAATTGAATAAATTAAGCCAAAAATATAATGAAATTATTTTATAATAAATATACCAACTAAAAAAACATTTTCTTGAGTTTAATTTAAAATGTTATCAAAACTCAATGAAAGAAAATGCATAATTAGGGCTATTGGAATCATTAAGCAAACTGTGAGCAGTTCTAGGATTAAAAACAATCTTGTATTTATGTGTGATTGGCTTATAATGATCTTCATTCAAAGAAACACCAAAATTTGAAATTATATAAACTTCTCCTTCAGTAAAAGTATCCTTAAAACGCAAAGAAACCCTAAGAGTTGCTTGAATCCTACCCCCTGAACAAAACATAAAAAAGTGTTACAAGTAAAAGATATGAAAGCGAACTTTAGAATACTTGCTGAAAAACCAAATTCAAGAACACAAAATTCTTACCTGTTCATCCAAAAGAAGCATTTCAATATTATCACTCAATTTTAACTGTCGAAAATTCTTTTGCTTCCAAAGTTTGATTACTCTAACCTTTATCCTCCATTGCTCTTTAGAAGGATTAAGATCCTTAATAAAATCAAACATATTAGCCATCAGAATCTATATAATCTATATAATCTATATATTCTTTCTCTGATACTTAAAAAAAAAAGACTGATATAGCATTATATATGCATGGAGAAGAGACCCTTCAAATAACTAATATTTATTGGACAGATTATCAGAAAGAATTGAAAAAATAAAGTCCACAGAATTAGAAATAGAAATTAAAATCAGCAAATGAATGTAAATTTTCAATGCATTGGAAATATAAAACAATAAATAGTGAAATGTATCAGATTAAAGATTGGAATGCAATAGACTATAAATAGACTACATAAAAAAAATTCAATAATAAATATGAACATTTCAAATTTAATAAATAAGTAACAAAAAAAACCCATCACCTAATAGTTAAAAATAATTTCTTCATGCACCACATATTTATCATTTTAATAAAATTAAACATTTTAACCATTAAAATCTGTATTCTTTTGGTGATACTAAAAAAAAAAAAGATTGGTATAACATTATATGCATGCAAAAGAGACTCTTCAAATGACTAATATTTATTGGACAGATTATCAAAAAGAATTGAAAAAATAAAGTCTGCAAAATTAAAAATAAAAATAAAAATCAACAAATGAATGTAAATTTTCAATGCATTAGAAATATAAAACAATAAATAATGGAATGCATCAGATTATTCTGGCCATTTCCGGTGTGATTAAATATGCTCCCAATGTATTAGTCCTGCCATATAAATTAAGATCACCATACCACAAAAAAATGCCCAACATTCCAAATAAATCAAAATGCAAACTTTCAAGTACCATTCAGGCAGAGGACTGAATACATGACTCTCTGGTGTAATTAGTGCGTGGTCCCTTTCGTAAACCCTTGGAGTAAAACCAGGCAAATCTACACACAGGAAAAAGAGCAAACTGAACTCCAAGTAAACACCATTTTATTAGGTATTAAAAGAACTTTAAAAAATAATCAAGGGACTCCAGAATTTCGAATCCGAGTTTATGTTTCAAAACACTCAATCATCAAAGTGAACTGCAAAGACTGACCTTGGAGATGAGAAGGAGATAGAGTGGGGTTGGTAACTTTCCAGTACAGTGGTTTGGAGGTAGCTTCGTTTTCGATTATCAGAGACGCAGAACAGGACCCAGCATCGCTAGAGTTTTATAGATTTAAAATGCAATATAATATAATGAAAATGAAAAAAAGGAGAAATTGAACCCATAATAGACTTCTAACAATAGAACAGCCAATGAGAAAGGGGAGGAAAGCATTACCTCACCAGGAGTTTCCAAAAGTGGTTGCTTCTCTGTTGAACCAATTAATCTGCTTAGTAATGTGATCATTGAGATATACATACCTGGGAGAAAGGGGAAAAAAGAGAATAAATAAAAGAGATTTATAACAATGTGCAAATTGTAAACCTCACCAATAACTAAGGTCAAAAGGATTAACTGCAATAGCATAAAAGCTTCACAGGGAGCTTTCTAAGCAAACTATGAAAATTAAAAAAATTAGAGAAGTGAGATGATCAATTTCTGGTGTGTAAATTATGTTTGTGGAGTCAAACCTTCGTTCAAATACCACAAGAGTAGCAGTGTCATCAGAATTCAGAGAATGTTGAAAATTAGGTGGCAGATAAGCATACGAATCTACCTACATGACAACCAAAATAATATCAGATTTTCTTGAGGAGTTATCTACAAAGCAAAAAATATATTACCTACTTAAGAAGATGAAAATTCAGCTAAAAGGTACATGTAGGACATAGGAGTTAAAAGGATTTTCAATCAAGTAAAATGTTATTGCTGAAACTTGGAAGGTAAATAGTGGAATGAGTAGTTGATTTCTCACATATTACAAAAGAACATTGTTGTTAAGGTCAACAAACACTATGGCATTTAGCCAAAACTTCATTGCAACATGGTAAAATATAGTAACAGTTCACTATTAAAGATATTTTAATCTCCAATCAACTCAACCCCATTTTTTCCCTTTACCTCATTTTCTTTTAATTTATACCTTCCATAAAGATATTTTAATAATTTTATAAAATAAATTGTAATTTCAATTTATAATCCGCCTATAAAACTCTCTTTCTTTTCGTATACCATACGCGGAATGGTCATGCTCCGTCGTATTCTAATACGTTTGGATTTGTCTT